CTCTGGCACCAAATGTAAATAAATAAATAAATAATCATCTTTCCTAGTTATCTATTTATTTTTTTGGTACTAGGGATTGAACCCAAGGGGTTTAGCCACTGAGCCACATCCCCAGCCCTTTTTTATATTTTATTTAGAGTCAGGGTCTCACTGAGTTGCTTACAGCCTTACTAAGTTGCTGAGTCTGGCTTTGAACTTGCGATCCTCCTGCCTCGGCCTCCTGAGCCACTGGGATTGCACGCGTGTGCCTATCACCATATCTAGCCCTCTTTCCCAATTATATGTGACCTACAGGAAACTTATTTCACAGGCAGGTTGAAAATAAAAGAATCGTAAAATATAACCATGCAACCATTAATATTTTTAAAAGGCAGGCAATGGATGTATTAATACCAGATAATATAAACTTGAGAGCAAAGGAAATTATCAGGTACAAAAAGAGACATTACTCATAAGTGAATTGAGCAAGGTCAAAGCTACAGGATTAACACATAAAAGTCATTCCCACTTCTCTCTCCTAGCAATGAACATGCGGAAACCAAAATTAAAAACACCCCAGTAATTGCACTCCTGAGCATTCAAGCCCAGAGGAGTGAAATTCTAAATTCACCTAAAACCCTGCTCATGGATTTTCTTGCAGCTTTATCTGTAGTTGCCCCAACCTGGAAACAACCCAGGCATCCTTCAATGGTGAAACCAACTGCTCCGTCCCTCCCAGCACAAGAGTACTCAGCAATAAAAAGGAAGAAACTCTTGACACAAGCAACAGCCCCCAAGGGTCCCCAGGACCTCTGCTTAGTGGGGGAAGCCCGAAAGGTTACTAGTGTGTGATGACTTTTCATAACAGAGCAGAGAAGTGAGAATTGAGGGAAGGGGTAGTCAAGGGGCAGATCCAGAGGGAGCTGAGATCTGTGTGGTGATGTGTCCATTGTCCTCTCTGTATCTCAATTGCAATGATGATTACACATGTTCATGAGAGAGATTTGCAAAGGAACACACATGCAAACACACACACACACACACACACACACACTCGTGCCTAGAAAAGCTGTTGGAAACTGAAAGAGCCTGGTAGCCCAGGGAACAGAATTGTACCATGCGCCAATCTTGGTTTTGATAGGGTACTACGCTTATGTAAGAGGTTACCACTGGGGGACGCTGGGGGATTTTCCGTAATTCTATGTTTCAAGTTAAAAAATAAAATCCACCCAAAAAATGGAACAAAAAGGCAGGAAAAGCCAGGTATGGTGGTGGCACATGCCTGTAATCCCAGCAGCTTGGGAGGCTGAGGCAGGAGAATCACAAGTTTGAGGTCAGCCTCAGCAACTTAGTTAGGTCCTAAGCAACGTAGTGAGGCCCTGTCTCAAAATTAAAAAATAAAAACGGCTGGGGATATGAGGATATGGCTCAGGGGGTAAGTGCCCCTGGGTTCAATCCCTGGTACAATAAAAAAAAAAAAAGCAAGACATTGGAGTGATTAGGAGCTGGCAATGTGGCAGTGACCAGGAGAGCTCCAGGTCCCAAGCTGGCTCCAGTGGGGATCTCCTGTTGAGAAGGAGGAGCTGTCCATGGTACCTTGCAAGGCCACACTCCTGTCTAGCATCGTTGGCACTCGCTTCTGCACAGGGGTTTGCAGACGTCCATCCTCTCTCCCATCTTCCTGCACCACACCCCACTCCCCACCAAGGGGAGCCGAGGCACATGGCTAGAGAGATGCGGTGGTCACCATGGTCCTGAGTCGGCTGCATTTTTAGAGGAGCGCTCCAAGGGCAGATGTCAGCATACTGCCACGATTGTCTCAGGGTGGTGAGATTGAGTGGTTTCCATTTTCTTCTTTGTGTTTGACTATCTCTAAAGTTTATGTAATAAAAGGATTGCTTTGGAGATAAGAAAAATCAATAAAAGTTGTTATTCTTTAAAATGGGCGCCCAAAGACCGACTCTGATCTCTTCACACTTGCAAAGCAGGCCTGGAGCTTGGCCACGCCCACCTCCCCACTCGCTCCTGCTGCCTGGCTCTGGCCTTGGCTGCACCCGTCACACTCCGGCCCTGTCCCTGCAGCCCCCTCTGGCACAAGCCCCTTCCCTGACTCCCAGCTCCCATCTCTGCTCTGCTTGTCCTTCAAGTCTGTGAGCCATCTCCTTCCCTGAGAAGCATCCCTGTCCCCAAAGGACAGCTCCTACCGTGCCTCGCCTTTGCACATGTTGTCTGGGAGACATCCCCCCTTCCCAGGCCCGTGCTGGGCCTCCCCTCGGCCTCAGCCTCCCCTCAACCTCAGCCTCTCCAGTACTGCTTGGCCTGCTCTCTGTGCCCTCCGTGGCTAGGCTCCCCACCTCCAGGTTCCCAGGCCATTTGGCCAGGGGGGCCCAACAGGTGCAGGTTGGTGGCTGGAGAGGTGGGAGGGAGGGGAGCGAGGCAGGCAGGTGCCTCCTGCCCGGCCAGCTGGCTCTCCTCTCAGGTCTTCTCCAGGGCCCTGTGGTCTCTCTCTCCTTTCGTGTCTGCTTCCTCCCTTTGTCCCAGGGTGCTGTCAACATGGCTGCCACATGCCGTGGTCCCTACACCCTTTCTGGAAATGGCCCTTTGCAGGGAAACCCCCTTGGTTTATTCTATTTGGGCGTCAACACTCTCATGGGCAGGGCACGGGTTTCCCTGCTGCCTCGAGCATACCTGGTATACAGTAGGGGCTCTGTAATTGCATGCTGAGTGAATGGTTAAACCTCAGGAACAGCACCTCGGGTTTTCTGTTTCCATGCTCTGCAGCTTTCCTGCAGACAGAGAAGACCTGGGGATTGGCCTCCTGCTTGGCCTCCCAGGTGCCCTGTTCTTACCCCACCGGGTCCTGTCCAGGCCTGTGGCCCTGGGGCTGGGTTGTACATCCCTCCTGTGCTCCCCACAGAGCCTGGCACATAGTAGGTGCTTAATGAACGTGTGTGTGCATTCCTGGATGCCTCATCAGCACCCTCTGACCTCCACCAAGTGACTGCACGGTGACCGGCAGGTGTCCAGTGTGGAGCCAACTGCCAGCCCTGGTCCTCCTGGGAGGCTGGGCTGCTGGCTGGGCTTCTCACTGCCAAGGACCACGCACCCTCATGCCACTTGCCTCCCTTTCCTCATCCTCCCCCAGACACCCACTGTCCCCTAGGTCCCCTGCTGGATGGCGGCTCTCCATGCCGTCCCTTCAGACACCAGCCCTACCTGGCCAGCTGCTGCACCTCTATTCTATGTCTTTCTCCCTAGTCCCCTATAAATAGTGCATTTTATCTCTTCAGTGAAAGGGCCTGGCCACCTTCTTCTGTCCCATGACCAGGACTGTCACTGAGTGGCTGTGTGACCTTGGGCAAGACAGGCCTTTCTCTCTGGGCCTCCACTTGGAATTCCTTGATCCTCTGTGCCCCCCCATAGAGCCTGGCACATAGTAGGTGCTTAATGAACGTGTGTGCGCGCTCACCATCTTTAGCCAGAGACAGGGCTCTCTCAGCATTCCCTGGAGATGCTGTAGGAGGGTGCAGAGCCACCCAGAGCTTGGGAGGCGCCACAGAGGTGGAAGTCTCTGCAGAGGCCTGACCTTTGGGCTGTGGGCTCAAACAGAGAAGCCCGGGACACGCAGTGTCCTAGGGAATGGCTCATCTCAGAGGAGCTCAGTGTCAGAGTGCCTGTCGGGCCCACGCAGGTTGGAGGCCACGAGATGTCTCAACACCAGGGACCACGCCAGGCCCGCCTGGGTGCAAACTGCAGCGGGGGGGGGGGGCAGCCTAGAGGCAGGTTGCGGGGCCCTGTCTGCAGCTCCGGGTTCCCCAGGGGTCAGAGATGGACCCTGAGGCTGCGTGGGGCTTCTACTCAGTCTAAGAAAGGTTCCTAAAGCTGGAAACAGCGACGAGAGATGGTGAACTCCGGCCGTCGAGAGGTTGCGAGCAGAGGCCGCTCCTCCAGCCCAGCCCTGCCTGCCCTCCCCACTCCCTGCATCAGGCTAGGGCCCAGATCTTTCTCCAAGGTCCACAGGCCTGCCTCCACCCTGTGGATCTGCCCTCAAGTCCTCAGGGCCCTGGTGCCTCCAGGACCCAGTCCAGCCCAAGCCTCCTGTCTTACTGGGCCTTTGTCAGAAGCTCAGATAGGGAGCGGTTTACCCTGGATGGAGTGGGGTAGGGGTGGGTGCCCCATGCCAGGGCCTTTAGGAAGAGCAAGGGAGGGGTCTCCCAGACGGATAGGGGAACATGGTTGGGAGATGTGGCTCCTGGCCACCTGTGCTGATGCAGGTGGACTCAGGGCTGGAGGCCAGTCCTCATGTCTTGCTCAGCTCCGAGGGCAGGATGGCAGGTAACTGGTCTTGGCAGCAAGGAGCACTGGAGTTAGCTTCAGGGAGGGACTTTCTCCCCTCTCCTCTAATGGTTCTAAATAAGCCCATGTTCTTCCCAGGTGGACTCTGGCCACTCATTCACTCAGCAGAGGCTGCACCAGAGCAGGCTGCTTGGAGGCACAGGTGTGGGTGAGTGGGGAGAAGGGGGTGGCAGGGCATGGTGGTGGGCTGAGGGCTGGCTCCAGTTCATCATGGGGTCCATCCGAGGAGGGGGCTCTGGCCATCACAGGGCCCCCATGCAGACGCATCCCCCTCCTGTCTCGAGGTCACACTCACTCCTGCAGACCCAGGCCCGCTTACACTCCCTCAGCTGCGTGTGCACAGCCAGACACACCGGGCCCTGGAGCAGCCTAGGGACCCAGGAGCCGCTGCACACCCTGGGCCCTGGCCCTGCTCACCCCCACTGCCACCTCTGAGCACTCGGCTGGTTCCTGTCCTGTTCACGCTGGCTCTTGCCCCCAAAGCTGCTGGACTCTCCTCCACCAAGCTGGGCTGCCCAGCTCCCCCACATGCAGCCCCCCACCATGGTCACCCACTCCAGGTGCCACTCCACCCCAAGGCCAGCCCTGACTAAACATCAAAGAAGCCCCCAATCTTCCCCTGAAACGCAAGTAAAAACCCAGTACAAACAGGTATTTGGGTTTTTTTTTTCCTTTGCAGATATTTTTTTAGTAGACATAGTCATTTTTTTGTTGTTGTTCTTTCTCATTTTACAGCAAACATTGCAAATATAGAAATATTTTTCTGTACAATGGAACGACTCGAGTATACACCAGGGACCGGGCTGGGGGTGCACAGTGCTTCCCAGCCGAGCCCCTCCACCACCCCGCCCGTCCACAGGCACGGCCTCCACCTCCCAACCGAGTCCGCAGCTTCAGGACGGTCCTGGAGGCCGCTCCGCCTTGCATCTGTTCTGTCCCTCTGCGGTGGCCTCCGGAGGTGGCAACGAAGAGACGGGCTGGACAGAGAGTCCACAGAAGACCACAGACTGGGAGGTCCCGCGGGGTGAGGGGTATGAGGCGACCATGTTGGCCACGCCCCCCCCCACGATAAGGGTTTTATCTTGTAAAGAATTTTACTTTTATTATTTTTTTTAAAAAAAGGAAGAAAAGAAAGAGAAAGAGGAAAAGAGAAAAGGCAGAGAAGAGTCAAAAGAGGAAAGATAATGAAAAAAAAAATCCCCCACCCCCACCCCTAAGACACAGTTTTCCGAAGTCCCCGGTGTGCATGTGTGTGCGTGTGCCTCTGTGCGTGTGTGTGTATGGGTGCGTGTATGTGTGTGTGGTGTGTGCGTGTGTGTGGATGTATGTGCGTGCGTGTGTGTGCATGTATGTGCGTGTGTGTGCGCACGCGCGCTGCTCCCTCGGTCTGCTGGCCCGCGCACCTCAGCGCAGGTGCTGCGCCTCAGGACAAGCGCCTGACCCGTCCGGGTTGACGGCCCCTCCCCGCGGTCCGCAGGGCCTGGCTCTGACCTTCCTGTGTTGTGCGCGTGCGTCGGGTTTCCCCGGTGAGAGTCTCTGAGTTACAAATAGCTGCGGTGGATCTCGTATCCTTTTTGGTCCAGTGGGCATCACGAGTTTCGGGGAGGGCTGGCGAGGCACGGGGTGCCCGGCCGAGGGCTCAGGACTTGTGCTGGGCGGACACGCCCTTCCAGTAGTCCAGGATGTCATGCAGATCCTCGTCTTTGGCGAACTGGACCTTCTTGCGCAGGGCGTGGCCGGCGGCCATGAACTCCTCCTCGTCCTTGTGCCGCCGACGGCTCAGTCTGAAGCGCTCCCAGATGCTCTGGGTGGCCCTGCAGGTGTACTCGGGGCTGGAGGAGTAGCTCAGGTTGTGGTACTGTGGGGACAGCTGCGAGTAGGCCAGGTCGCGGGGCCGCGGCCGGGTCAGGGGCTCCAGGATGGACGCCTTGCGTCCACCCAGGCCCTCGTGGGCGGGCGGGGGCGGGGGCGGTGCCGGGGGCTCGGCCGGGTGCGAGCCGGGGTACGAGTGCCGGTGCTCGCCGTACTGGCGGCCCTTCTCGGCCTCTGCCCGCAGCACGGCGGCCGCGGGCGTCACAGTGAGGATGGTGTCGGCTGCTGGTGAGCTCTTCTCGATGTACTTGGCCTCGGCCGCCTTGTGCACACCTGAGGCCTCGGCGCGGAAGGCCCGCGGGCTGCGTGTGGAGCCGCCACTGGAGGAGGTGCTGGCCCGCGGGGGCCCCGGCGCCGTCTCCACGCTGTGGTGCCGCTGCAGGCCGTGGCTGAAGGCGTCCTTGTACATGGGCGACAGGAAGCTGTGCTTGCCGGCCAGCGGCTCGGACAGCAGCACCAGCTGCGGCTCGGCTGTGGACACAGCCCCGGACTTGACACCCTGGAAGGCGGTGGACTCGGACTTGAGCGCATCGATGCAGTTGTTGATGATCTGGTTGACTTTGTCCACCTCCTTGGCGATGGTGGAGATCTCAGCCACGGAGCTCTGGCTGTCCGGGCCCTGCCGGCCCAGCTCGCAGTCCCTGCGCTCCGGAGCCTCCCCCGTGCGCACCTCGATGTAGTTGCCCTTGCTGGCCTTGGGCGTCTCTCCGCTCTCCACCAGCTTGTACTGCTCCACCTCGCCAGTGGCCGCGGGCAGGTACGGGATGCGGGTCACAGCCTCAGGGCCCAGCAGTGGGCCTTGGGACAGCGGAGCCAGGCCAGGCGCCTCCATCTCTGGCCCGTACTTGAGCTCGATGATGGTCTTCTTCAGGCTGCCAGCCGCCGCCGCTGCCGCCGCCTTCTTGTGCTTTTCCTCCTGGCGCCTCCGCCTGCGCAGGCAGTAGTACACGGCACCCAGCACCAGCACCATGCCGAAGAGGCAGCCCAGGATGGTCATGATGTAGTGGGTGGCCGTGGAGGGGCTGGGCACCGGCCCGGGTGGGCTGGGCGGCTTGGGCAGGCAGATGGTGAGGCATGTGTGGTTGTGCTGGGTCCCGGAGCTGGTGGACACCACGCAGTAGGTGTAGTTAGTGAGCGTGTACAGGTTGGTCAGGCGGATCTCCTCCTGGGCCTGGGTCAGCTTGGACACGGTGGAGGGCTTGCTGTTGTTGTACTGCTCCAGCGTGTACATGCGGTTGAAGGGGCTGGGCAGCTGGACAGTGATGGTGGCCGAGTTCTGGGTCAGCTGCTTGACCTTAATGAGGGGACGGGCCTCGGCCTGGGTGGCCAGCGTGGCCACCATCGGGGTGGTGCCGTCACCGGAGAAGCATTCGTCGTAGGCACAGGGCGCGTCGCTGGGCTCGGGAGGTGGCGGTGGTGGCGGTGAGCGCCCCAGCTGTGAGCGACCTGGCACCAGGTGGGGCCCGATCACCTCGACTGCGGCCCCGTAGGAGTCCTCCGTGCAGACGGACTGCAGCTTGCTGAGGATGCTGCGCTGGCCCTGGCGGCCCTGGCCCAGCAGGTAGTAGCCGGAGTAGACGGGCGGCGACTCGCACTGCATGCGGTCGTAGGTCTGCGTGGCGTTGGTGAAGGCGGCCAGCCAGCGCAGGAAGCCCAGCAGCTCGCAGGAGCAGTAGAAGGGGTTGCTGTACAGCTCGCACACGGACAGCTTGGCCAGGCCCACGAAGGTGCCGCTGCTCAGCTGCTGGATGCGGTTCATGGACAGGTCGATGTTGACGATGTTGGGACACTCCCAGAAGGCGCTGGCCATGACCACCTCGATGAGGTTGGCCTGCAGGTACAGGTACTCCAGCTTGCTCAGGCCCCGCAGCATGCCCTCCGTGAGGTTGCGCAGCCGGTTGTAGCCCAGCTGCAGCACCTGCAGGTTGAACTGGGCCGAGAAGGCGCCGTCCTCGATGTAGCCGATCTCGTTCTTGGTGAGGTTGAGGTACGTGAGGTTGCCGAAGCGGCTCAGCGAGGCGTACTGCACGCTGCGGATGCGGTTCTCGTTGAGCCGCAGATCCACGATGGTGTTGTTGATCTGCTGCGGGATGGCCTCGTAGGGAGGCTGATTCTGGCTGCAGATGGCCAGCCACACGAACCCCTTGTCACCCTCGATCAGCCAGCAGTCGCCGTGGGCCAGCCCTCCCGCGTGCAGCAGGGTGGCAGCCGCCACGCACACCCACAGCACACCCCACCCGCGCCCGGCCATCGGGACCCTTGCGGAAGACCCTGCTTAGCCTACCCAAGGGGACCCGGTGGGGGGCTGGGCGGCAGCTCCCAGAGGGGAGACGGGGTGGGACGGGGAGCGGTCCGCACTCTCAGCCGTGTCCTGTCCCAAGCTGCATGGCCACGTGGTGCGAGTGCTGGGGACGGGGAACACCTCTGTCACGGCCCGCGGCCCCTTGTAGTCTGCCCCAGGTCTGCGGTGACCACAGCCTCCTTCCCCATGGGCCTGCGTGTCCTGGCAGCTCCGCCTGGTGCCTCTGCTCCGTGGAAGTCCCTGCTGCAAGACAAAAGAGGAGAGAGGTCACCAAGGCCCCCTGGACGGGTGTGGCCTGAGTCCTGGCTCCCGAGAGCCTCTGCTGGAAAATGGGGCCAGAAGCTTCCTCAGGGCGCAGGGGTGGGGGGCACGGGGGGCAGGCAGGAGGACAGAGAAAAACTGGGGCTCCTCCCACCTCTGCCTCAGCTTCCTCATCTGCAGAGGGGATGTGACGCCACCTGTGTGGCTGGGCTCCCAGGCACTGTGACTGCGTGCAGTCGGGACCCACGTGGCCCACTCCCCACTGAGCATAGCCCTGGGTAGATGGGAAACTGAGGCCCAGAGACGGGGCAGAGTCACCTGGCCAACAGGTGAAGGGGCTGCCCCAGTGGGGACATGTATGTGTCTGAATGACCTTGCTGGGCTCTGTGCCCTCCACTTGGGAGCTGAGATGCCACTTCTGCTGCGAGAGGGCCCCCTGTAGGGGTCCAGTGCACCCTGCGGATGTCCTGAGCCCAGACAGAGGATCCTTCCGGAGCATGGCTCCTCTCAAGCTCCTTCAGAGACTAATCCTGAGGTGCCTGGCCTGGCCACCAGCAGTTGGGGCTTGGTCTGAGCTCTCCGGCAAGTTGTGCCCTCTCTGAGCATCAGTTTCCCCAAATGAATCAGCTGGGAGGCCTCTGAGGCCACCACCCCATCCCTGTGCCCTCTCCGCACCCCACCCCCACGTTGGTGGAGTCTGGCAACGAGATCTGGAAGTGGGGGAGCCCGCTCGGCCAAGAAGTCCCCGCACTCTGCAGTCCCAGGGCCTGAGCTGTCTCCCTCCACCCCCACCTTGTGGCTGGGCAAGGGTGTCCCCCCCGCCCCGCAGCCCACGAGCACAGGTGCCTCATCCGTCACCCAGTGTCTGCTGCAGCCAAGGGCTAACGGGGCTGCAGGCTGTGGGGAGCCTCACGGGGAGCAGGCCGGGGCTGAGAGTACCGAGGTGTGGGGGACCCTGCCACCCACCCAGCAGGACGACCTCCCTGCCCCCTCGTGTTTTCCCTGCAGGAGGGAGAAATGGGTTTGTGTTTGCTTGTTAATGTTTGGATTTACAGCCGGCCTCTGTCACCGCTCTCTGGCCTGGCAGGCAGCCAGCCGAGTGTATTTCACCGATATTGACGTCTGCAACTAGTCCGCACTGAGGCGGTTCAAATTAGGAGAAAAAAAATATATAATGATGTGAAATGGATTTTCCCCTCTTTGGAAACTTCATAAAGAACCATTTTGATCTGGCTCCTGGGAAGAGGCTATTTCTGATCTAAAGACGGGGAGAGATCAGAGGGGCTAGGGGCTGTGGAGGGGTCCTGGCAGGCCGAGGAGCTGACCCCAGGGCAGGGTCCAGCCAAGCCTGGACACCTGGGGTCAGGAATGGCTCAGCAGGATGGGGCCAAGCCTGGGAGCCTGCCAGGAGAGCCGCAGTGAGGCCCCCGGAGGACGCGGCTGGTCACGTAAAACCCAGTCGCAGGGGAGCTCCGTGACATCCAGGAAAGGCTGAGGGCTCATCTCTGTCACCACTGTCCTCTCGAGCATTGCACAGTACGGGGTACCTGCAGCCTGCACCCCCCAGGGCGTCCCCTCCCTTCCTACCAGGCTCCGTCTGCCCGGGATGCCCGGGAACCTGTGCCAACCTGTGATCTGTGTCGCCTGGGCCTCCCGAGGGCCCGAAGCCCAGCAGAGGTGGAGGGTGTCAGGTAGGGGCTGGGAAAGCACAGGACTGTCCCCAGGCTTCCAGAAGGGGGTGCTCAGAGCTGCCGCAGGCCCAGCGAGGAAGTGTGGCGCCCCAGCAATGTGATCGTAATCACCTTAATCTCTTGCTCAAAATAACCCAAAGTCAAGCTAAGCAGGATTACAGGGTCTACAGAGTCCTATCACAGGTGCCGCGCGTCTCCCGCCATGAGGGCCCCAGGGCAGGGCTGCGTGGGCACAGGGGTTCATGCCGGTGGGCCTGTGCACGTGTGTGTGGGTGGGGTGCCACCGACATGCGGGCCACGTACATATGTCCACCTACACACGTGTGCACGTGTGGGAACTTGTACCAGGGGTTTTGCGGCAGCCCCTGCTGGGACTCCCCTTCCTGCCCCCCCTGCCCCCCCCCGTCCCCATGTGGCAGTGTAAGAGTCTGTGCGTCCATTCAAGCCGCTGAGAGTCTCTCCTACCTCCCCCCCTGCAGCCTCCTCCATCAGGCTGGGCCGGCCTGTGTGATGGGCAGGCAGGCCTGGTTTTCCATCTTGTGCTGGATTTATTTTTTGATTTATTTATTTTGGTACTGGGGATTGAACCCAAGGGTGCTCAACTACTGAGCTACATCCCCAGCCTCCCACCCACCCACCCCCACACACATTTTTAAATTATTTTTATTTTGAGACAGGGTCTCACTACGTTGCTTAGGGCCTAGGTGAAGTGCTGAGGCTGGCCTTGAACTTGCAGCCTCCCGTCTCAGCCTCGCCAGTTGCTGGGATTCTAGGTGTGGCCACCCTGCCAGGCTCTTGCCAGCTTTTGCACCTGCCCCCACCTGGCCTTGTCACCAAACCTCCCAGGTGCAGATGTGCTGGGCTAGGATGTGAATCCGGTGGCTGGTCCCCGTGTGGCCAGAAGCTTGGCCTTTGCCCCTCTCTAGCCCCACATCCTCAGCCTAGGAAGGACCCCCAAGTTCTCCTTCCACCCCTAACTTTACACATGGGGACACTGAGGCCCGAGAGAAGGACCTGTCCAAGGTCACCGAGTGAATCAGCCCGGAGCCTCCCCCTGCCAGGGACTGGAGGGAGGGGGCTGGTGACTGAGCGGCAGCCACACAGGCCTGAGTCTCCACCCTGGCCCCCCGGGAAAGACTGTCCCCCGCACGGGTCTGGGGGCCCTGAGGATGGAGGCCACGGCCTGACACCAGGAACAGCTGTGCAGGGACATGAGGATCCCCTGGGCGGGTGCTGAACAGACCCTCTGGCCAGGCTCCCTCGCTCCCCGGCCCTGGGCACCCCTCACTGACCACTCCAGTCCCTTCTCCCTGGGCTCAGGTTCTCAGCCATCAAGCCCCGGGGGCTGTGCTAGAGTGCTGGGCCTGGCTGGCCGGAGGCGGGGCACAGACCCTGCACAGGGCGGCCCTCAGCCCACCTGTCACCCCAGACTCAGGGCCCCACAGGTGAGCCTTGGGCCCTGGCGACTGCAACTCTTGGAAGGGTGAGCGGTCCCCTCCCTCCACCTACTGCACTGTCTCCTCTGTGTCTCAGGCTTCAGGAGACATGGAAGGTGCCACCCTCGGGTCCCTGTGATCCCTTCTCCCCTCTGCAGCACCCTGTCCCAGGGCAGGTGATCCACAGCCGTGGGCCATGCGCCACATGCAGAGGCTCAGCGTGTGCTGTCCAGCCAAGCACCGCTGGCCACTTGTGGCTATGAGCACCAGAAACGTGGCCAGTGGCTGCGGTGTTGGACTGCATACTTCTAGAACCTTCCGTCAAAGCAACCAACTGACTGGACTTGAGCAACCTCCACCCTGCCCCCCCCTTCCCCTTAATAGCAAATTTTCCTGGAAGAGAGGCCAGCAGTTTTGGTCCCATCTCCTGACTTCATCTTCTCTCAGCCCTTCCTGTCCAGCGTCCAGCGTCCACCCCAGCTCTCCGCAGCTCTGCGGCTGGCTCCCATCAAGGTCGCTGGCCACCTCCTCCTGCCATGTCCAAAAGGCGTGCTTTTATTATCTTGCCCTCACAGCACCTGGCCCAGGTACCTGCCGGGACTAGGTGGACGCTGCTCCTCACTGGGTCCCTAGGAGTGGCCTCTTTCTGCAGGGGCCAGCGATGGTCCCTTCGATGCTGAGGTGCCCTCGGCTCCAGGCTTCAGATGGGCCACTCTCTCCTGTCCCCACTGTTGGGTCCTCACCTGGACCTCTGGCTGTCCTTGGAGCCCAGTGTCCTCAGGTCCCTCCTCTAATGCTCCCCAGGTAGGCTTGTTCCTTGTGGTTACAATGGGGACTCTCCCAAATCTGCAAACGACGTGTGACCTGGTGTGTGACCTGGGGCAGGCACAGAACCCCGAGGTCAGGTTTGGGAGGTCAGACTCAGCCCAGAGGACGGGGCTGGGGTGGGGACCATTGCTGGCCCCTGCAGAAAGGGGCACTCCGAGGGACCCATTGAGGAGCAGCGTCCACCTAGTCCTGGGAAGTAGGTCCCCCCACCCCACCCCAGTCACCACGGGTGTCCCAGCTGGAGCTTGGAGCAGAGGGGCAGGGCTGCCTGTCCTAGGGGGAGACTGTAAAAGATGCCACATTCCCGGGGGACAGCTGGCCAGTTAGAATCTTGCATATGGCAGGAACATCCAAAAGACCCTCGGAAGGACATGGATCTGACTTCCCTAAAGCACTCTCGCCCGGTGGGTGGCAGGTGCAGCAATAGCAATAGAGTGGGGACAGCTTGCCAGGTAAAGCGCCCCTGGACTCAGTCCCTAGTACCCAGGCTCCCCACCCAGAATCACCGAACCAGGCGTCTCTGGGACTCTGCGGTGAGAAGTCCAGGACCTGGTGTCTGTCTGCCCTTGTGACGCCTCCTGGCCTCCCCCACGACCCGTGCACGCTGACACAGAGTCACTCCAACATCTCCCGGCCACTGGTGCTCGCCCACGCCGTGCCCATGCTGAGAGCACTCTGTCACCAGGGGACGACGGGGACAGTGTGGAAGGCTCCACAAGTTCCCTCTGGCACATCAACCCTGTGGCCTGTCGCCGCTAATGAAATAAAGAAATACGGTGTTTCCGGGCTTTTAAACTTCTTATGACCGGATTTGCATAATCGCAGCCGCCGTGCTGGGACGGAGCACATCTGTCTAAAAATACCCTCCTCTCCTCCCTCCATCATGTAGCCCTGCCGCGGGGCCGGGGCTGGGGCCAGGGCTGGGCCGGGCATTGGCTGATGGACTTTCTTTCCACCCCCCGGGGAAAACGTGGGCCGAGGGCCAGGCGTGGGGAGGCGGGGAGATGGGCGGAAAGTTAGAGATCGA